CTCTCTCTCTCTCTCTCTCTGTCTCTCTCTCTGTCTCTCTCTCTCTCTTTCTCCCTTTCTATTTTCTACCAGCCTCGCTCTCTGTCCGTCTATTATCTTAGTTTCCTTCCCCTTTTCCTCCCACCCTCTCTCTTTCTCTGCCTATCCGTTTTATAAACGCAAACGTTATTTCCGGTTCTCCGTTGCATTTGAACATCCCCCTTCTTCTCTCTCTCTCTCTCTCTCCCTCTCTCTCTTTCGTTTCTACATTCGTCGCTTTCTTCTGCTCTCTTCCACTCTGCTCTCTTCCACTCTGAATGGACCCCGACTGTTTTCTTTCTTTTTCTTTTTTTTTTTTTTTCATTGATATCCCGTTTTATATAAAGGAATATTCGAGAAAAAGGCAACGCATGTTTTGTCTTTCTTTTGCTGTTGTTTCCGTTAAAATGGAGATCGTTTATCGAGAGAAAAATGTACGGAAAAGGGGACTAACCAAGTTTCCGCGGATTATTGTATTTTTTTTTTTTTTTTTTGTTTTGTTTTGTTTTCGGAACGTTGCTCTAAATAAGTAAAGTGTGTTTGAAGGTACCCTGCATTCGGTAAATTCTCGTCGGAAGGTATATTCGTAGGAAGTCGTAATTTTACTCCTGCTCCCACTTTTTACGCCTTTTTACTCCTCTGGCTGCTTGCGTCGATTAACCGCACTTTTAGAGATTCGAAACGCTCGCTTAGCATTGCGGTAAAATTGATCGCTAACCACTCGTTGCTATATCTACAATCATGGTAAGGAAAACTGATCTATAAAATGTCTTTGAATGGACTTTGAGAGCGGACACGACGTTCGTCGAAAAGAACGAATATTTGTAATAACTTTCGAGAGGAGAAAATTAATCGTCAGCTACTAGAAAATATTCAGAAGAAAGTGAAGATATATTAATATATTTACCAATTTGTAATTTGCAGTAAAAATATAATAATGTAATATTTATTTATTATATATCAATATATTATATATTATATTATATATCAATATAATTTCTAACATTAATATATTCAACTGGGTTAGGTTTATATTTCGAGTATTTCAATTTACTGCATCTCTTCTAATATATTTTCTGCTAATACATTTATAGTGATGAAATTGAATTAAATTGATAATTTCAGAACGCTGTTGTACAATTTTATCTTATATTATTAATATTCTTCTTATTAATATTATTAAAATTAATCGTCAGCTACTAGAAAATATTCAGAAGAAAGTGAAGATATATTTCTATATTTACCAATTTGTAATTTGCAGTAAAAATATAATAATGTAATATTTACTTATTATATATCAATATAATTTATAACATTAATATATTTAACTTTAATATATTCAACTAGTTAGGTTTATATTTCGAGTACTTCAATTTACTGCATCTCTTCTAATATATTTTCTTCTCTAATACATTTATAGTGATGAAATTGATAATTTCAGCACGCTGTTGTACAATTTGATCTGATATTATTAATATTCTTCAATGGTCTTCAACGGCCAATGATATCACGATTAATTGTGTCATTAAAGTGATACACTTGGTGCGCCAATGATTGATCTATACTACTTGGCTCTGTATATATCTGTGTAACAGGGGCAAGAATATAATGTGAAAATACGTAAATACTTATTAATATCGTTTAGACGGTACAAAGAAAAGCAGAGGATATGTTTTATAAGAATTTCAAATTTCTCGCGATGAATTTTCTTGCAACAATTTCGCGTAATTTCCACTTAATTCGCCATAAACTTTGCCGCAAGGAATTCCAATTATAAGGGAAATTCTCTCAATTAAACAATAATGCAAAGAGATACGTCTGTAGTCTACGTGCTTTGATCATCAGACATGCCGCAAATTGACCCATTAATTTCAATCCTGCCATAATCTTCCGATAGATTCCAACCAGACTATCGGTATTCGTACCGATACATGCTTCATGGCAGATTTCTGACGTGTTTCTGTTTGTTACGCATCTGTTACTGAACACTAGCTATTAAACATTGATTGATAATAGCGAAATAAGAACGAAGAATGATAAGATTTAAGCTTGTAAGATTTAATATTTCGTCGAAAATGAATATATCGTGTTATGTTACATAATAATAATAGTGCAACGTAACACAAGATTAACATTATTTTAGGACAGCTTAATTTAATTGTCAAATTGTTCATTTAACGATGAAAAAGAAAACGGAGGATTTATTTTGCTATAAATAAATTAATTCATCTTCATCGTGCAAGAGCTGATTTCATATTAGTGAGTTTATGTGTGCGGCTAACTGTTTTAATTTAGTTCTCAAAGTTCATTTAACGATGGAAACGAATTTAACGATGGAAACGAAAAGGTACAGCAATCTTAATCGGGAACAACTGATGTTTCACCGAAACACGAAATATATATATCAGAAGAATCAGAAATTATCCGATTGATGTTTTGAAATTATTTGAAAACGAGGTGCAGAGATTTTCAATGCAACAGCAAAGCTAATTGTTGCAATAGCTATTCCCATCCACGTGAAATGTAAGTCAACTGAGATGTTAATTCATTTTAGACTAGACAGAAGCCAATTATCGTACGATTAACGTTGCTGTATCGGAAGACTAATAGTACAACTGTGTCATGCGTGTTTCTACGATCTTAGGTTAGGACAGCAAATTATCGTACCTAAGTATATTTGAGACAATAGTTAGTCAGTACACGCAGCAATATGAACCTCGGTAATTTGCAGTAATTTTTGTAGACGTTGAAGAAATTAACCCGTTCCATTCTTAGCTAGAGTTTGTTGCAACATGTAGCAAGAAAAGACCGTAAGTAGACTTCACTGGTATGGTTCGTCGTCCTATAAAATTCTCAATTTTATCGATGCAACTCTCTCGATGCTTTCCTTTTTGTAATCTCTCTTTAATTTTAAAGAGGTAGCGGGTTTCTTGAACAATTTTTTTTATTTTGTTCTTCACTTTAGAGACTTTTTATTAAAAGTAGTTGGTATTATTAGATGCATTATTCTTATTGACGTAGATACTGGTATGGAACAAATTTACAACCCTTTTATATCATTTACCCTGCACACCACTCATTTACAACTATAGTGGCATAACCTGTGTAACTTCTTTTTTCCCCCAAATTTTCTTTCCATTCACGTGTCAAGTTAAGTAGCTAGCATGCTAGTTATGTTATATTTAAGACACACACGAATAACTTTGGATTGACAACTGTTTTCATATAGATGCAGAATTACAAACTTTCTACAGAGATTAATTATCGTTTGCGAACAAACGCCGCAGACATTCTGAAAATCTTGCCTCAGAATGGAACATTGTCCAGTCTGATTTTGACGTCTCTGCAAGGAATTTTTTTTTTTTTTTTTTTTTTTTTTTTATTAGAATTGTGCTTCATTTCGTTCGTTTAGATTTATTTGTTAAGTAACAGAATCAATGAACTGCAAATGATTAGCAACCAACTATATATCCCCTACAGTTTATGTTTTGTGTACGATTACTAAAAGTTTGAACCTTCTTTCGAAAAACACCTTCAAAATTAGTACTTCTCCTAGCTATATTGTGTATCAAATGTAACTGCTCGATGACATTTCAATCCACACGTCACAAACATGATAAAAATACGCACAGTCAAATGTACTCGATACAGTTCCCGCGAGCACTCGACACGTACAAATACGTTGAAATAAGTTGAGAGCTTCGTTGATTGCGAGACGTAAGGCTTTTGTTCGAAAAGTATGAATCCCCGAGTAGACAAGCCAGATTTTATGCGTAAAAATGGATCTCGAGCAACGACTCCCTGCTCGGCAATCTGCATGGCACTGCTCTTACAGCCACGACGAAAAAGAGAGAGAGACAAGCTGAGAGATATCCATAACCGTTCTGCCGTTGTTGCGAGATAACAACGAGGAAACAGAAAAATCAACGTGTCACTATGACGGGAAGTAAATCACGTGCTGTATGCAGGTTGCTGGCTGGGTAATCGCGAGATGTATAGGTCACAGAAAGGAAATATTTTTCTCTAACTCACAGGGCGGAGGGAGCGCAGAGTCACCATCGTGGA